TCAATCACTATAATAACTTTAATACTCAATGTGACTTCACAGTTTTGTTGATTATTATGGGAGTGTTCAAGTCTTGTCATATGACTTACTTGTAGACATGGTGTAAGTCTAATGGGCATGCATGCTCGCAAACAACATTAGCAATAATTTAACACATTGTCAAGTTTTGCTATATGTAAAAGAGCACTAAATACCAATTCAGGCAAAGCTTTTAAATATCTGTTTAAGTGAGTTTGACCTATTTCACAGTATGGAATGGATAACAGACTTTCTGAGTCTGACACCTACAGCTGTGAACCGGATAACCACAGCTGCTAATGAAAGAAATACCAGACAACTTAAAACAGACAGGAAATCACACAGAAAGTTCACATCACAAAACAGCAGCATATGTTTGGCTTAAATTTAGAACTTTCAGGAAAAGTTGCAGTGTGCAGCAGTTTTCAATGGGGCAGAACACTGTGATTACAGATACATGAATTGAATAATTATACAACAGTTTGTTTTGCAGCCGTCTAATCTAAATGGCCAAGCAGCGCATCAGTGTGCTAGTGTGCACCAAAGGTGAGCAAACTGGAATGACCTAACAGATCTTTGAAATGTGACATCTTAGATCATTGTCTCGTCTGTTCTCCATTTAGCCAAGGCTGCAAAACCAACCCCGTTACAAATATGGTAGAACGATCACCTCTACTTCTCATTATACCAGATAACTTAGAAGAACTCTATGTTGCAAGTGCAACATAAACTATTGACTCTCTCTTTTCCAGCGCTTTAAACATGGTTGCTCCTTTGACATTAAAGAAGATTAAGGAAAATAGTCAGACGGCGTGGTATAACTAGCACACTCGAGCCCTCAAGAGCAGCCCGAAAACAAAGGAAGGAGCAGCTGGAAGGAAACAAAACTATAAGTATTTCGCATTTTGTGGAAGGAAAGTGTTATTGCATACAGAAAGGACTTAAAATCTGCTAGATCTGCTTTCAACTCTCTTAGAAGAGAACAAACACAACCCTAGGTATTTATTTGATACAGTGGCTAAATTAATGATTCAACTTCAGACATTTCCAAACAGCACAGCAGTTATGACATTAATGTCTTTACTTGCAAGATTAATTGATTGATTGATTGATTGATTGATTGATTGATTGATTGATATAGCTACAGATAACAATCTCACATTTCTATAATTCACATCTGTTAAAGGATTGTTAGGCTGCATAAATTAGGTCAACTAGAACTGGGAACACTTCCCGTAACACCAAATGTACTTGTTACATCGTAAGAAGAATGGCCTCTACGCTAATATTAGTGAGGTTACCGTAGCCAGCCGGATCAGGGCCGTATACAGATCAGATGGTGGACCTGCACCTAGACACAAGCACAACGCAGCCCAGAAAGTCAACAGAGACCATGTCTACTAAACAATCCCCTGTGAAGGCCTCGTCGACACAACAACCATATGAACAGATCCTCACCAAAGACCACAAGAACCAGACAGGTCCTCTGCACAGACCCTATGGCCAGCTTCGGCTCCATACCGGCATGATGAATCTGATCTTCAAAGCAAAAGGAACTGGATGAATATTTGAATGCTACCTCTCCCGATCTGCATTCTGACTTGTGATGCAGCCTGAATCATAATCACGCTGTGTTCATTCGTTGACCAGAGGAGAACTGCCCAGAGGAGAACTGCAATGTTATTTCCTCAACACCATGTTTCAAATATGTATATATAGCCATTGCTCAAGCCTGCACTCTTGACCAACTAGATCAAGCCATTTTCAAAGTCATCCTGGGAGACTAACAGATTAAACAAAGAAAGCATGTAAAGTAATTTTGTAATATTTTATGTAATTTTACTCTACCATTTACCCACAGTGACCTTGCTATGCATCTTCTGTCAGGATTGAGTCATCCATCATTCGCACAACTGAGGTCCATAGGCTGAACAACTGGAGCAAATGCTTAAAGCTTACATGGTAGCTTCAAGCATTTGCTGCAGTTGTTCAGCCTATAGCTGGACCTCAGTGCGAATTTTAGCTTGTTATTTCCCAGAGAAGTTAAACATGATGAGTTGTGGTCTGTGGTCATGAAGATCTGAGAACGAGCAGCGCTAAAGCAGTTCAGCTGCTCTAAAGCCGTCACATGAAGGAAACAGGTTATTAGTCTATGAGAGTGCATGAGACAAATGACCAAAGATCAGGCCACAGGAAGACAGAACACACAGGACGTCCTTGTGTGTCACTGAGCCAGTCCTTTATGTATTCGACAAGATGATGAATGTCTAGCCAGTCCAATTAATATCATCGCGACTATCTCAGTTCTCAAATTGTCCTTTGTCAGTGCAGATAAGATCAGGAGGACAGTTCTGAACAGTGTATGCGTACATAAATCATAAACCGGGACAGGGAAGTATTTTCTCAATATGTGAAAGCAAACACCTCCAAATTACGAATTAAAATCCTAACCCTAGTACAAAAACACAGAATGTTTCCACAACAATTTAAGAGCTTTCTTCTCAATTTAAAATTAGCTCCAACCCTGAAGAGGCAGAGTAGCAGACAAATGCAGTCCTCTTCCTTTGAGGTTCAATGACAGGTAATCAGGAAGTCACCAGACATTTTATTCAGCAACACAGACAGCTTCACATTAGCTTGGGATGACTCCTCTAGGACAATGACAAGGGCAGAGACAAACACTGAATCTTTTTTTCCTTTGAACATTAGTCGCACTAGTACATATGACAAACAGCAAACATTTACACCACACTGCTTTTGAGAGTAAAACATTCAGGAATAGGGAAGGAAATGAGCCAGTTCAGACATCACTACTCTCTTGTGGTAGTTTCTTACATCTGTTAACAATGAAGAGACATGTCTTGTGATTTATTTAGTCTGCTTTACTTCATTCTATGTAAGTCGTGTGTCCTACTTGCAGTCGAATCAAAACATTATAAAATTAAATCAGACAATTTGATTATCTCTATTGTGCTTGCAGAAATCACACCCATATAACGTGAGGCATGTTTTAAGATTGGATAGCTTTGTGGTTTCATTTTGTGTATTGGCCTTTATATATAAGAATCTTTAATGCGTTGTGGTTTTCAACATTGTGGCTCCTTCATATGCTGATGACTAAATTGAAAAGTCAGGGTATTCTGTTATAGCCACCATACTGTATATATCTGTCAGCAATTAACATGCTTCAGAAATACCTCTGTTTCAAATAAAAGCCACAAAGCGCCAAAGTATTTCGCCTGAGCCACAAATTGTTATTTTGCTCTGTTATGGTCACATTTATTGTTTATATGCTCAAATGCTGTCTTTCTTTTTCATTTTTTTCAATTGGGCTGTATGTTACGAAGGGCATTATATCCGATCGTAAAAACAGCCTGTGTGAGTCAATTCAGTAACACGGCTGGCTTTCACTGTGGAATTATTATTTCCTGGGGGATATAGCATTGTGTACAAACCTGCACTTACTCACATTTTCTGCAAAGGTGGTGGTTTTCTACTCCTCCCACCAAGCATCTTTAGCAAAAATGTTATGTCACACTATAAAATTAATTTATAGCTGTTAGACTGCAGATAATATGATATTGTTGTTGAGTTCAGTCTTCTTGCATGCTAACTCACTGTACTGCCTTATGAGGCTGGCAATACAGCACTCATAATCTCCCATTCATTTAGAGAGAATCATAAATAAGTGAACTACAAAGCAAAATCTACTGCTTCAGTCATCAGAAAATGGGTCTCAGAGGAACTTACCGACAACTGTAAATGATCAGCTGGTTATATATTTGACTACAGCAGGGGGTAAATGGTCAATGTGTACAACTCAGAAGGCCTTAACTAACATCTAGTTATTTTGTTCATTTTCATTTATTCAGTTATTATGCGCATTTCACAGATGTTATTCCTGACCTTTTGGCCAGCAGTATCCATCAGGACTTTCATTCATCACTACATTTTCAGTATCCAATCTCAAACTAAGTGTTGTCAAAACTAAATATTTAAGCTACAGTTTTTCAGAACAAAGGCGGCAAAGTTTGTTGTAGCAACTATAACGGCTATAAAACATTAGACAAGCAGGTGCATGGCCTGCCAAGCCCCTGCAAGTCACGGTATGTCTCATATCCTCTTGTGAAATGGAGCTTTCGTGTTAATCATTTACCTGAGTTAATCGAGTTAATTCAATGGCACAAAAACTGAAACTAGAAGATTCATTCAGACATGGACAATGTCACACATAACGTTTTTTCATCTTCATATCATCAAGTCAAAACAGAAAAGAATGTAGTTTGCACACTGCAGTAATAAGATGCAATATTTACATTAAGGATATATTTTTAATTAGTTTTGTTGGTGCAACAATTACACCACTTATATTGTTAAACATTATTAAAATGACTTTTAAAGGAATAGTTCACCCAAAAATAAAAATTCTGTCAACATTTACTCACTCTCAAGTTGTTCCAAACCTGTATGCATTTCTTTCTTATAACATATATTTTGAAGAATTTGGTTAACCCAACAGTTGATGGACATTGTCTTCCATAGTGTGAAAAAAAATACTGTGGAAGTCAATGGGATAGTCAATGGGAAGTCAGGTAACTGTTTAGTTTCCGACATTCTTCAAAATATCTTCTTTTGTGTTCTGCATTTGGAACAACTTGAGGGTGAGTAAATGATGACAGAATATTTTTAATATTGGGTGAACTATTCCTTTAATTAAAAAAATGGAAAACATGATCATCATATAAAAAAATATATCATACATTCAGGTAATGTTTCGTATCGCATTTGTAATGTATTCGTGCATAACTAAATAAATCTGTGAAAAAATAGGCGTGATTGACCTACATAAAAATAACTTATTTATAAAACAACGTTAATGCAGTGATCAAACGCTCAACAGGTGCACATTCGTGAGAAGATCTTGTCCTTCTTATGACATTTGACATGAGGTCAGCTAATTTACATTGAAATAATATACTTACAGGTGTCTCTTCTCTCCTACGACCTGCTCGTGAAGTGCAACAGAAAGTCCAAACAAACTGCCTGCGTTTCCCTCTTTGACGACTGCAAACCTCACATCCAAGTTAAACGTTTGACAGCAACGAGCGGCGCTCAACACGAAAACCAAGACAATCGTGTTTTTACTGAGCCCGTGGCAGTAAAATACATTCATTTTTTTTTTCTAATAGTCTCTGCGAAGTTTTTGTTGGGCGAGACAGAAACAGAGAGCGGAGAAAGATGAGTCTATCAGGGTCTGAACAGGAGCGGATTTGTCAGACGCTGTGCACTTATTGTTCATATTCGTCATTCTTCCGGGATGTTGAAAACGTGACTGGAGGGCATTGAAATAATATAGAGCGCGCGGCCGCGGACACCTTGATAGAAGACGAACTTGCACAGACTACACTCACAGTTGCAATCTGTTGTAGCTAATGTCTAGAAAGGGGCTTTTCAAACTATAAACGATAAACAAACTGATAAATAGCCTACTAAACAAATAGCCTACTTAAACCAAAATAAATTATTAATCTATTTTACTGAAAAAAAATAGCTTTAAGTTGATAGTATCTTTATATGTAGCCTATAAACCAGAAAGGAAACATAATTCATTTTCTATGTATCTTTTTACAAAAAAATAAATCTTGAAAATATCTGCATTGCAAGGACGAAGAGAAAACATTTTTACAAGACTGCAGAAATTATTAATTTAAATGTTAAAAACTAGGACTGACAATATAATAAAATAATAGTGATTCATCTTATGATTTCCATTTTTAGAAAGCAGAATGAAACAATAAAAAGGTGAAGTTAAAGTTAAATTTAAATTTACAGTCAATGTTCAAAATCTTTGACACTTTTTTCCTTTAAAATTTTCCACCGATTCTGAAATACTAATGGAACTTATAGGCTATTTCTCAAAGGGCATAGTCACCAATTTCACATCATCATTATTTAAATTATGTTTAATCTTAAAGGTACAGTAAGTGATTTCTGAGAAACACTGTTGATATTTGAAATCAACGCAAACAAACACACCCCCTCCTTCATTGCTCCACCCCAAAATGCACGAACATGCAATAAGAGTGGATGGCTGTTTCTGAAATCTCTTACTCTCTTAAATAGGTACTTATTTTGAATAAGAAATTACTTCACAACTGTTAAAAAAGTATGTTCTATATGAATGTGTGTAGTGAATGTAATCCAGACATACTACATTCGCCATGTTGCCCTTATCACGTGACCTTCCAGCGTCAGTTGTGTCGCGTCAACACCATTGACAAATCCTCCCCCGTGGCCTCATGGGATAGTAAAGTGTCCATCAATGCACACTTCAGAAACCTCCGGGTACTTTTTGCCTAGGCTATCTTTAATGAGTACTGTGAATTCTGACATACTTATTTTGTCACATGTATATGGCCTAAGTTGCATCCCAAATGATGCACTTCATACACTATGTACGTATGCACTATGTAGGCTACTCATTCGTGTAGTTTATGAATTTTATAGGGTTATTTTGTTAATTATTGTCAAAATCTGAAAGCCCCTCCTCTCCGCTACGTAATTAAAGCTGCAAGCCTGCGACAGTTTCATGAAGTGTCCAGCATTCCACACTGAGTTTAACTGCGTTACAATGTGCCCCTATTAGAACTATGCTATTCTATTCTATACTTTTATGAATTCTATTGAGAAAACATGAGAAAAAGGTGAATAACGACTGAGAGTCAATGTTCAGAAATTATTAATTATTATTATGGTTTGAAATATGTTGTATAGCTGTGTTTTCCGGTGTGTTCGTTGTCAAACTCAAAAATGACTTTATTTTTAATTATAACAAAATGCCATTATTTTATATGAAAAACTATGTCAAATGAAAATTGTATTTTATTGAGAAAATATTTTAGTTTGTCTTGTATATCTTTTTTATTAGATCAGCATTTTAAGCTGTCATATGGTCATGTTACAATATGCCCCTCACATGTTACAATGGGGCACGTTGTCACATTTCACTTCCATTCTTCCGGGGTATATCAAGAAAAAAAGTATACACTGTATTAATAAAACAAAACCACATAATTGTACTAGACGTGTGAAATTAATGTGGGAAAAAATAAATACTCTGAACTCTAGGTTTACACAAACTGAGAAAGTCAAAAAGCATTAGGTTGTGCCCCGCTTTCCCCTAGGCCTACGCGAATTTGGATGCACCTGGGCCTACTGTTTTTTGCCTACTAGCTATAGTAAGTATGCGATTTTGGATGCATCAGATGTCTTTTTAAGTGTGTTCGACTTGAAGCGGCGCTGCGCAGACCGATCTGTGTATAACATCAAAGTAGCATATGCTGCGAGAGCGATTAGAGAGCAGACTGCTCCGTATGCTTTCGAATCGAATTTTTAGTTTTTTGCTGTAATTATTTGCAATGTTTTATAATTTAACATTAAGTGCTCATGTTTTAGACCATTCATCTGTTAACCTCACTAAAATGTCCTAACATATCACCATGTCAACAAGCAGTAATTAGACTTAGTGGGATTATTCTTTCTTGTTAGGTGTCCTCAGGATACACAGTCAGTGATTAGAATCAGAACATGCCGTGTAAAGGCTGCTTGATTTACTCACTTGTCTCAAAATGCAAGATCACGTAGCAGTTGCAAAACTTTTTTTTCCCTTTTTTTTTTTTTTTTTTTTTAAGTATGCCAGAATGCTCTGCACATAATTGAATACCTGTATTATTTTGTCATGCATGCTAATTATCAGACTCTCTTGGAGCTCCACCTGTGATAGAGTTGCACTCTTGTGATAATTAATTTCGGCGGATGACCCCTAATTGCTAATTTATCAAGAAAAGGGTGAATGTTTGTTGCAAAGTGAGCACTGAAGATAGCAATGCAACGTTTGCTCCTGTTCATTTGTTTTTAATTCACTTTGCACTTTTTTGCACGATGCAATCCAGAAAAACAACATTCACGAGTTCACACTTACATAGAGTGGATAAGATTTAATGCGTATTTGGCATGCTGTCCGGGGGGAAGGCTCCGAGCTCGGCGTTTGGCCCGAACCCAGAGTACTCCCCCCATGTAAGTGTTTAGGACTGGAAAGGGCGGTGGAGGGGTACTGCTAAACTGTCAATGGAGTGAGGTGAGATTGCTGAATCTATATACACCTCTTATCATTGATTGCTGAGTGCACTCCACTCGTGTTAATTAACTGAACGTGCTCCTCCCGAAACTTGTTAATAAAACATCATGGTTTGGTAGACTTCTCTGTACTGAATCCAGTGTGGCCAGCCACCTTCTTGCTCGGTTTCCATATTTCCTTGGCTCCACGCACCTGAAGAAAAATGTTGTTTTTTTGTGTGTGTGTGTCAATTTAGAGCGCAACAAGTTCTTCTAATTTGCTTAAATATGGTAGACATCAAATTGCATAAGCAATGGCCTCAAGATAAAAGTAAAATATGACATTCTCAAAAATGTTTGATAAATGTGTCTGAACATTTCTTAAATGACAGTAAAATTAAACTTTGCCATGGCTTATTCTACTCTCAGTGTGTTAACATTTCAACATTCTGGAATGAGGCAAAAAATCCAATGGTGCAACTTGAGTGTAATGATAAAGGAAACTATGCTGATAATCTGTGGTAAAATGCAGGCAGAGCTCACTGTAAAAAATGATCTGCTGAAAAAGTTATGATAACTTGTATATGTCATTCACTCAGACATAAAATAATGTGTTATGAAATTTCAACTCAATTGTTTGAGTTTTCAATTTTCCAATTTAAGTTCATAAGTTACTTCAATGAATCACACATTCCAGGTGCCTGAATTAACTTGCCATTTTAAATTGAGTGGGGTACAAGTCTTAGGCGTGTTGCAGATTGAGTGGAGGACAGCTCTTTGCGCATGTGCGGGGGAGGGGGGGAGACTACCGACGAAGCCACGAGACGAACTAGTTTACGCGCCATCAAGCAACAGTCAAGCAATCAAACTTCAATCGCCCGGGTGCCTGTCAGACAAGACGAATCGGATTGGCGTGAACAAGGTCGCTATTGGTAAGTGTTCATGTTTTGTATATTAATAATGTGAGTTGATGAAGCCAATAACGTGATTAACGTTAGTTAGCTTTTGATATGTGCAACAACTGTGATGTCATTTAAGCGAGGCACATTTCAGCGACCGTAACGTTAGTTCGAACACGTTTGCTGGCAGTCTTTTCGTTCAGTCAGAGACGGTTGATAAAGCTTTATCTGAGACGATACCAGTTTTCATTGTAAACTTTGTAAAACGTTGTAGAAAACGCCATTTCTGATATTGCGTATGTCAAGGCCAAATACACTAACGTTAACGTTACCGTTCAAAAGTTTGGGGTCAGTCAGATGTTGTATCATGTTTTTAAAAGAAGTATCTCCTGCTCACCAAGGCTGCATTTATTTGATTAAATTAAAAATACAAACAAACACAGTCATATTGTGAAATATTATTCCAATTTAAAACAGCTGTTTTCTATTTTAATATATTTTAAACTGTAATTTATTCCTGTGATCAAAGCTAAATTTTCAGCATCATTAACAGTTACTCCAGTCTTCAGTGTTACGTGATCCTTCAGAAATCAGTATAATATGAGGATTTGATGCTCAAGAAACATTAATTATTATTATCAATGTTGAAAACAGTTGTGTGCAATTTTTTTTCTTCAAAATTCTTTGATGAATAGAGTTAAAAAGAACAGCATTTATCTGAAATCTAAAGCTTTTGTAACATTAAACACTAACGTTCAAAAGTTTGGGGTCAGTAATAATTTTTATTTTATTTTTGGGGGAAAGAAATAAAATAAGTCAATACTTTTATTCATCAAGGATGAGTTAAACTGATCAAAAGTCACAGTAAAGACATGTATAATGTAAGAAAATATTCCATTTTAAATGCTGTTCTTTTGAACTTTCTATTCATCAAAGAATTTTGAAAAAAAAATTGTACACAACTGTTTTCAACTTTGATAATAATAAAGAATATTTCTTGAGCATTAAATCCTCACCTTATACTGATTTCTGAAGGATCATGTGACACTGAAGACTGGAGTAATGATGCTGAAAATTTAGCTTTGATCACAGAAATAAATTACAGTTTAAAATATATTGAAATAGAAAACAGCTGTTTTAAATTTGAATAATATTTCACAATATTACTGTTTTTGTTTGTATTTTTACAACATTTTTTAAACATTTTTTCTTCTCCAATTTCAGGCCGAAGTGATCCACGATGCTGCTGCGAGTTGTCCTCTCCGAGATGGATATCAGGCACCTTTCCATCGAAATCACCCCCCTAGTGTTGATGCACTGTGCCAGGTGTTGCGTGCAAACCTTGGCCTGAGAGGTGGATTTATTTTACAATTTGAGGACCCTGCGTTCAAGGATCAGCTGACCAATTTGACCGACATCCGAGACCTTCCTGAGGAGAGAGCAACATTGAAAGTGTTGTTCACAACTGACGCAGCTTGCTCGGATTCCACATTGGATACAGCCAGCCTTCCATCTCTCAGTAGTGGGGAATCTGACTCCCAGCACTGGCCTGAGCCCTTCCCGATTCCAGAGTTCTCACATGATGTTGAACTCACGCTGCAAGAAGCAAATGGAAGATATGCAAAATATGGATCTGTGCTGATGATTCCTAAAGGTATGAAAACTGATATCCTGGACACACTTGCAGACAGCATGTCAAAGATTAGTCCTTATCCTGAGAGGCAACACTATGAGAATGTTGCCAAAGCGCTTGTGGAGAAGCATCCCAGTCTAAAAGAGCCAGGGTGTGGAAAGGGTTGGTACGGCTGGTTCCACAGCCTGAAGTTTAAGCTCGGAAACTATCGACAGAAGTTAAGTGCAGCTGGATGCCCAGAGGTGAGGGTCAACAAAAGAAAAGAAGAAGCCAAGGGACCACGTATGAAGAAGTCAAAGAAGGGCGAGGTCCACTACTGTCCAGATCCCCCTGAAGGACTGAGTGATGAAGACATGGAAGAAAAGCGGAGGATGATGGAGGTACATCATACACACACATGCACATCATACTGCATACTGCATACACACCTGCCTATATAATACTAACTACCTACACTTTGCTTTTGTGTCTGTGTTGCCTAATATTTTGTCTTAGTATGTGTCCTTTGTGCTTGTGCAATCTAATTCAGGTGGAAGTGCTGAAAAAAGAACCAGATCACCAGCAGATAGATGAGCTGATGTCTGCCACGTTCTCCAAGCGCAGAAAGGAGATCGTAGGGCATCAACCTCTCATTGGGGATGTCATAGCTAGATGGCCGGCCATGTTCTGTGAGAGACAGGTATAACAATAGGCAACACTCAGCCTAAGATTAATCACTTAATCCAATGACTGGATATCAATGTATTAGCTTCCCTCAAGGAAGTACTAGAGAGATGTCTGATACTATACTGTAGTCTGTTCAGAATCAAAAGTTAAGCAGCTGCCTCAAAATTTCACGTTTTTTTTTTTTTTCTGAATGGTGGCGTGAATGTCCATACAGATAAGTGAGAGGATTGTGTTTAATATTACTGAGTGGATGAAAGCCTTTGACAACAGACAACCTTAGCTTACTAAATTGTGACTCTATGCTTTGAATTTTTTTTCTCTAATTTCTTAACTTTTTTGTCTCCTCAGGTTCGGGCAGAGTTCAAAAGAGTCGTAAGCACAGACCTTCTCGAGTCGTTCCTCGACGGACTTGATGAGCTGGCACCAAGACTGCTGGAAGTGTACGAAGCTGCGACAAAGTCGGCAAAGAAGCCTGCACTGAAAGCCATTTTGGACTGTCTGAAGAAAGACGTGAGTAGACAAGCTGAGAATTGTAAAATTGGGCACCAGATGTTTACAATAAAATCCCAACACTGCTTTTTTTTTTTTCTTGTAGGACACAAACGAAAGGAGAAGGACTGCTGCTCTGCTGGGTCTGCCACACTACCTAAGAGAAGAGCCATCAGACATCATCAGGATGTGTGACGTAAGACGTTTTTCTGTCATGCATAACAGCCCATATACAAACCCACCCACCCACCCACATATACACACCCACCCACCCACATATACACTTGCACGCACACACACACACACACACACATACACGCCCTTTAACACAGAGATTGGATTAGATACTCATGGGTGTTGATGGCAGCAAAATAGTGATGATGCAGGGAGGAGTGAGGGGCAGAATAGTGATGGGGTGGACGAGGGTTGGGTGGAATAGTGGTGATGGGAGGAGGGAGGGGTAGAACAATGTTGGGGAAGGAGAAAGGAGCGGTAGAATAGTGATGGGGAGAGGACCCAGTGCAACATACACTTCCCCAGATCTGAGAGGACACAAGTTTTCACCCTGGCAGTAACCTTCCAACATTGCACCTACAAACATGCACACTCACAACTGAAAGCCCAAGAAGACTATTTTATTAGCCTGAAAAGGTTTATGATTACTGAGACTTAAGTAGCTTTGCAGAGCATGTAATTCTTGACCCAAACATTCACACTATTTTTTTCTGCTTTTCAAGGCCCATGGTGAGACTCTTGCTGAAGCCATGGAGGGGATGCAACTTGGCCTGTTGATAGGCTATGAAGGTGACAACCAGGATCCCTTTCCACATGAGGTCTTCAATGTGGCTGTTGTGGTTGAGGGGACTGTTGTGCTTCACAACTTCAAGGATGTGCCATCGAGCTTTGCCATGCTTTTGGGGATCATCTACTGCGTGAACCTTGAGTATCCACGAGCCATGAAGTATCCCTTTGAGTTCCTTCAGAGGGTAGTGATGAAGATCAAACCAGATCAAGCCTCTGCCAGAGTCCACGGCATCCGAAACAAGCTCCTGAGGTATAATTTGTAAACCATGCCCCAACCGAGAATAGGTTTGGAAACAGGAGAGGAGCCCTGATTTTTTTTGTTGGACTTGATACATTTGCTTTTGTTGGAATGAATACATTTAAGGCTGAATATTGTTCAAATAATGGGGTCTAAGTATACTGTATTTAGGTTTCAAATATTTGAAAACAACCAGCTGCAGTCTGAAGTTTTAGTTTGTTTGTGTTTGGGGTTCAGGACAGCTTTTGGTACAAGTCAGCTGGATCTGTGAGATTAATGTTAAAGGATTAGTTCACTTTAAAAAAACTTTTGCTGATAATTTACTCACCCCCATGTGATCCAAGATGTCCATGTCTTTCTTTCTTCTGTCGAAAAGAAATTAAGGTTTTTGATGAAAACATTCCAGGATTTTTCTCCATATAATGTGTTTCAATGTGCACCAAACGTTCCAAGGCCCAAATGAGAGTTTCAGTGCAGCTTCAAAGGGCTTAAAACGACACCAGACGATGAATAAGGGTATTATCTTGCGAAACGATAGGGCATTTCAAAAATAAATTCAAAAGTTTAAGTTTTATAAGCACAAATGCTCTGTTCTGTGATTCGCGTTCTGATGACGTAACGTAATACGCAGGGAATCGCAATAACGTTGAAAAGGTCACGAACGAACGTCACGAACGCGCATCACAGAACAGAGCAAGGCGAGCATTTGTGCTTTTAAAACGTAAACTTTTTTATTTATTTTTTAAATGACCGATCGTTTCGCTAGATAAGACCCTTATTCATCGTCTGGTATCGTTTAAAGCCCTTTGAAGCTGCACTGAAACTGTCATTTGGACCTTGAACCGTTTGGTGCCCATTGAAGTCCATTATATGGAGAAAAATCCTGGAAATGTTTTCATCAAAAACATTAATTTCTTTTTGGCTGAAGAAAGAAAGACATGGACATCTTGGATGACATGGGGGTGAGTAAATTATCAGCAAAAGTTTTTTTTAAAGTTAACTAATCCTTTAAAAGGTTTTTTAAATGTTTAAATTTTAAAACCTGTTCAATATTTCAATGTTGTGTAAGAAAAAAAGCTAATGCTTTTAAAGGAATGTATTTTCTATTGGGTGAATATGAATAGTGTTCAGTACATCTTTGGGTGACCTAATGGGGATATGACAAGCAGAGTGCATATAGAAGGTGAGCTTCTATTTATCTTAGCTTCATGTTACCCACACCCAATTGAAGTTTGTTAACTAAAAAAGTATTGATTACAAGTTTGAGATGATTGCATGATTGAAATGTTTATGTATAGCTTGTATTGGCTTAACATTGGTTTTAATAAAAAAAATGTTTTGTACTCAAATTTGTGTGTTTTTATAATTAATTAAGTTAAAACAAGGCATTATTTTAGATCATGTTAACTTGATACCCAAATTCAAAGACATTACTTAATTGAAATTACTATGTTGAACCCACTAATGGGGATAAGTGAACAGAATGCTCATTAATGAGTTCACTTTATTTTGAACTTGCATAGCAAAGTTGAAACAACAATAGTTGTATAGTCATGTTGACTCGCAGAAGACAATTCACAGCTTAACAAGAATCAAAATAATGAGTTAAAACAATTCATTAATCCATTTTGTTTTTACTTGAAATTTTGAGGCAGCTGCTTAACTTATGATTTTAAGTAGAACCAAGTAGATATTTTTTACAGTGAGCTCGTCTCATCCAAGGTTTTCTGTTATTGATCACAGTCTGTCTTTCAATTACTGTCAGACAAAATTGTATAAACAACTGTGGGAACTCAAGTCTCAGAGAAACAGACTCCAGCCTGTGATAGAGTGTGCAGTGAAAATGAATTCCTTTTACACCTTATCTATTTTCTCTTGATAATCTGGTGCTTATGATAATTGTGTTGAAAGGCTAGTGAATCCATAATATTATTTTGTGTGTGTTCAAAAGTCATGGCTGTATAAGGACAATTATACTAAGTGTTTAGCATGTTAATTTCAACAAACTAAGTTGTTTTGGTGATTTTAACAGAATAACAAAGACAGAATAATTAGAAAATGTTAATTACAGACAATATTACCAAGCCCTAAAGTCTTGCAGGGACACAAATTTTTCTCAAGTAATTTATCGGTTCAATAATTCAGAATTGACTACAGCATTGAGTAATGAGAAAAGAAAAAAAAATTATTACGAGGATTTTTCCATAAAAAGAACCTCCGCATGCAAAAAACTGAACAGACTCTTTTCTTTTCAGAGACTCTAAACACTCTGACACTAAACACAGACAGACAGAGTTTGAATGGAATTGAAAAGTCGTTGATTGATAGAATGAGTCGGATTTGACAATGAAGGTATATTGTGGTATTATATGAAAATATTACAGTCTAGCAAATAGATCTTCTATTTGACATTTCTGATTATTTTAGGCATACCACGCCCGGCAGTGTAGAGAAAACATTGCGGAATGTTGTGGAGTTTTATTGAGGCTGCAACACACATGCAGTTTGAGTGCCACCTGCTGGCCACTCATTGCATTATAAACAAATGGTCAACATTTAACAATAAATATGTTCAAGTTCAAGTTACTTTATTTGTAGGCTACCCGAAGGTAGATTTTGTTTGCAGTAGAGTCCTCATACACACATATGGAAAAACAAAGGGACACATATCACACATCATTCAAACTTAAGACAGTAAAAATTAGGAAATGACAAAAATTAAATTAAAAATAAAAAGTTCTTATCGGTTCATAATAAATTAATACATAGCCTACATAAAAGCAATAATAAAACAAATAAAACACCTGTGCAAAGTATAGCTATGACTTATTCCTCAGTGTAATGGCTGCAGGGACAAAACTGTTTTTGTGTCTTTTTGTTCTACAGGGATTATGAACCTACGCCCAGAGGGTAGAAGCTGAAACTCTGTGTGCAATGGATGGAAACTGTCGTTTAAGATTAAACCAGTTATGCGCTGTAACTGTTTTGTGTAAGGTCTCCACATTGAGATCAGCCTGCTAAATCACTTTATTTGGTTGAGTGAGTTTTTATTTTTCAAAGAGAGGTTCCCAAACCATGCTGTTAGCGCAAACGATAAAACTGGTTCAATAAAAGCGTGTGATAAGAGGGTCATGATGGATTTGTCAATGTGAAAGCGACTCAGTTTCCTCAAACAGAACAGGCGCTGATGCCCTTTTTTACACACAACTTCACAGTTAGCTTCAAATGTCAGTTTTAAATTTAATGTTATGATATTAGTGTAATTACATACATTCATATTAAATAAACGTTATTTTTATGCTTAATAAAATACATTGTTAATACATGTCAAATTTAATTCAAGATGATGAGTTTGCCATATGTCTGTGTGTGGCTGTGCTGTATCTGCTGTGACAGTTATTGCTCCATGATTCTGTTGTGCGTCTCTTTGATGTGTCTGCAGTTCCATCTGTGTTCTGCAGTGTGCACATGGTAGGAATAGCCTATGTAGGAACAGCTGGCTTACAGTGTCCAAGCTATCGCCGCTCTATACCCTCATTCACTATTCCCTACATTGCTCCACTAATACAGTCCACTTAAGGTAAATGAAAGCGACTGAGTGAATTCGGACACTTTAGCAAACTGGCAGCTCCAGTAGTAGCCTGATATTTATCTTGAACTCTGTCATGGAAACTTGCATGTATAAACCTTAATTATTCAATTTTATAATCAAGTAAAAATGGAAACCTGTATGATATTACACTTTTATTTTTTTTTTATTACTTTTATATTGCGGGCACGTCATATGCGGGAATTCATTTGACGCGCTACTCTCATAGTGCATTATGGGTATTCTCTAGCTGTTGAGCATACATCGGTTGTATACTTCTTGTTGCCGTGCATTTTGGGATTGAATGAGTGCACTAGATAAAACGTCTACTATGGTTTCAGACACCACTACAACTGGCTGTCCCCTCAAATAGTGGCAAATATTTTTATTATTAATATTTATCATGGTGAAAAACCACACCACAGAGATTTAAATTCCCTAAATTTTCTCAGGTGAGAAAGTGTTGGTTTGTGTAAATATGTATTCAATATTACAGGTATTTACTATGGTACTTTTTAATGTTTTTACTTTTACCATGGTAACTTTTTAATATCGTAGATAGATGTAAATAATCATACATGCCATGCGTCTACGGCTGCAGACGTAGTCAACTCACTCTCGATTGTTCACGGACCGGCTGTGACTGTTCCCATACGGTAAACGGCTTATGTAGCCTATAGTGACCCATAGAAACAGTGGCTAATAAGGAATCTATACATCTATGGTCACATCATCTTTGTTTCCAGCTGGACCATTAAAGAACGCAACACACATATCTCCTGGAAATCCTGTAGAATTCAACCAATCAGATGACGACTTTGAAACTCCTGAAGTGTTTCCAATTTTGTGTGCCACATTTAGCCAGCAGTCCATGGGCGTCCTGAGGCTGAGACTAGTAAACAGGCCTGATCATTTTGTAGTAGTAGCACAGAAACTGCACACTTCACCTTTAACTTGTCCATCGTATCAACATAATTTCATGCTTACAGGTAAAAGCCACAGTAAATATATTGCAATTGTGCCTGTTGAGGTGACAGGAAAATGTTCTGTTTTGAATTTCTAAAAATCACAGCTTCATCGGAATGGTACGAAACTTGGTGACTTTTATGGCATTTAGAATGTGGACACACAAAAAAAAAAATGTAGGGCATGATTTGAGCAGGCTAGCCACACTTGTGCTCTTCGGTCAAAAATGACCGACCATAGGAAATTAATTGGAAATACAAAACACAAACATTCTCTACAAATCGGCCACGATGCAGAAAAAAAAGTGCTCTGCAATGAAGGGGTGAGTGCAAAACAGAAACACACACACACACACACACACAATTATAAACACAAATGAACTAGGGCTATTACCATACAGCATAATTGAGTCAGACGACTGAAATAAGAGGTTGAATTGAGATCAGATCCAGATGGATTAAGCTGTGATAAA